CTCGCGCGCTGGCGGCCGGGAACTGTGTGCCACCCTGGACCCACCCCGGGCCGGGGCGGTTAGAAAAGTTCCCACCGTGCAGCCTGGGTGCCGGGTGGGCTGGAGTTCTGGATCCATCTGGGGGCAGTGAGCGGGAGGGGCGGTGGGGGAGTGGGCTGAGATTCCGCTGGGCGGGCTGCTGAGCGTGCTTCCGGAGCCCACCTGGCGGAGTGGGGGGTCGGGGGGTTAGGGGGACCCACGGAGAGCGTGGGTCAGCCTCGGCCGAGGGCCAGCTGGAAAGAGGAGGGGACGCGCCGCTGCCTGCCCAGCCCAGGTTCTGTGATACAGGACTTGGCCTCTGGAGCAGTCAGTGCATGACAAAACTTGGGCCCGGGGGAATAGGCGCAGTGCCCTCCCCCGCCCCCCACCCCCGGGCCTGCAGCGGAACATCTGCCTGGAAGTAGAGAAGGAACCCCGAGTTGCCAGGGTGGCAGAGGGTTGCTCCCTGTCTGCCCCACCCCCGCCCTGTGGACTTTGGCACTGGGGTGCTGAAGCCTGAGGGTATACTCCTGGGACCAGCAGATCCCAGAGAGGCGATGACAAGATGTCCACTTGGAGAGCGGTGGCTTCAGGGGCCACAGCTGCTCCCCTCCTGTGTGTCAGTTGCAGGAACCTTCCCTCTACACCGTCAAAGCCGTTTTCATCCTGGACAGTGATGGGCGCCGGCTGCTGGCCAAGGTAACCCCGAGAGAGAAAGAGAGGTCCTGAAAACACACCGCGGGGCTGCGGCTGGCTCTCATCTCAGGAGAGACCACTGTGGCCTCTAACCTGGGACAGCTTCTCTCCAGAGGTCATCGTGGCTATCCATCTGCCTTGCTAGGCAGACCCACACGCCCTGGTCCCCAAGCTTTGAACAAGCACGCAACCTCCACTTTTCTCCTACAGCTCGGTACACACAGTGTCAGGCGTCTAAGAATGGAGAGCCAGTTAATCCAAGCCTCTAACTTCACCGAGGGAGAGAATGGGGTCTGGGGAGGCGCAATAGGCACAAGCTCAAGGGCACAGGCTGTTACTACCACTAGACGTGCACTCAGGTTTTCAAGCTTGAAGCTCAGGGTCATTTCGCTCACCCCTCCATTCAATGATCTGATATCCATCCTAGTTAATCAAAGACGGAGAGTCCAGGAATAAATCTTCACAGTTGACAAAATTAACTGTAGCAACCGGGCTATAAAATCTAAACTAGTTATGAGACACAATAGATAGGAGACACAATACATTTTTGTTCTTTTGAGGGGGGGCTAAAAAAAAGGGTCTTCCAAATTCATTTTTTTTTTGGTCCCATCATGAAAAAACTTGCTCCCTCACAGCTGGGACAGCAGGGAGGTCGCTAATTCACACGCACACCAGGTACTGTGTCAAGATCCGCTCCCAGAGAACGGAGAGGTGACCCTAGCTTGCCCCAACAGGAGGACTGGAGCAGGGGGAGGGGGTCTCCTCCCAGCAGGCCCCGCCCATGTTACACATTGAGATACTGAGTCAGAGAGGCTTACCGAACTAAACGAGGGAGAGAGAGAGAGCGAGAGAGCGCAGATGGATTTAATTCTGCAGTGTGTGCCGTGAATGTGTCTTATTTCATCTTGTCTGGAGTCAGACTGTCCCTGGTGTTGAATCCCAGCTCGGCCCCTTACAGGCTGTGAGATGTTAGGGAAGCCACCTGACTTCCTCGCGCCCCAGTTTCCCCATCTGTCTAATAGAGTGATAAACGCTCTGCGACTGAGAGTTGAGTTAGGATGGTTGCCGCCGTGGTGAAGGACTCGGGGCCGCCAATTCTCCTGGAGGCGCAGGTCAGTGTAGAAACAGGCGCTTAGTGGCCAGCCTGACCCTGAACACACTGCCCATCTGCTGAGTAGACAAGAGTCCTCAAGGAATCAGGAAGGGACCCCAGATTCACACCTCAAAATCCCTCTGCTTTTCACATGTTTTCCCTAGAATCTGTGTGCATGGGAAAAATAACCCCACTCCCTCCGGAGAAAGCTGTGGCCATGGTTTCTGGAACGGTGGCAGCCTGGGGAAGCGCATGGGGCTGTGGACTCTGTCCTGTCCCGTTGCTCTCCGCGGGAATGGGGCTCCCCAGCAAGGGGCTGGGTTGGCTTGAGTGTGCACGTCTGGAGAGCAGTAAAGGAGAAATGGGGCAGCATGGCAGGCTCTGCCTTGACCAGCACCCACTCGCCTACTAACCTTCTGTGGGGTGGGGTGGGGAGGAGGCGCCGTGGAATAGCTCTCCCCGCCTCTCCCTTCTCATAGTATTATGATGACACCTTCCCCTCCACCAAGGAGCAGATGGCCTTTGAGAAAAATGTCTTCAGTAAGACCAGCCGGACTGACAGTAAGTGCTCGCCCGCCTCTGCACACCGTCATCTTCTCCATCTGCACACGTCTGTCCCCAGCGGCCTTATCGCCCCACGGGCCATTCCCTTGTCTGCAGAGGCTCTTTCTCCTCCTTCCCAGCTGTTCTCTACCCCCTTCCTCCAGGGGCTTTCACCCCTCTGCCTCTCCCCAGACTCCCCCTCCCCTAGACTCCTCTCAGCTCAAGAGGCTACTGTGGTGTGGGTCCCCACTGGCCTAGCTCACACCACCAGGGAGCTCTGCCTGGTGGGGCTTGGACAGGAAGTCAACCGTGAACTGGGTTGGTTGGCGTGTCCCAATGAGACAGTCCCTAGGGATGGAGGAGAGGGTGGGGGAAGAAGAGAGGGCAGCCTTAGGGTAGTGTCCCCACGGCTGGTCGTACCAAGGGTTCTTCGGGAAGGGAAGAAGGAGCGAGAGGGAGAGATGCAAAGCTGCAGCTGGGGAGGCGAGGGCCGGCTGGGGCCAGGCAGAGCTGACCAAGACTGAAAGCCCCTTCCACTTGTAGGTGAGATTGCATTTTGGGGGGGCATGACCATCGTCTACAAGAGCAGCATTGACCTCTTCCTGTACGTGGTGGGCTCATCCCACGAGAATGAGGTGAATTCAGGAGGGCAGGGTGGCCGGGAGGTCTGTCCATGGGAAATGCCTTGGAGTCTGGAGCAGATACTGGAGGGGTCACCATTAGAACCTCTTCTGCTGGCTCCTGGGGGCCACCTAGAATGGTTCTGTCTGCGACAGTCTGTATTTATGATTCTCCTTTCCTTTAAAAAATTTTTAAATTTTATTTTTAACTCCGAGTTAATACACATATCATTCCATAGTTCCATCATGTTGAGCAGAATTGTAAAATTGCTACCACAATTAGCCCTCTTGCCTTTTCTGAGAACTAGAAATGTGGTTAATACACCCTGTGCAGGGAGCTTTGGTTTCTTTCTTAAAATAAGGATTCTTTCAGGGACCCTTAGTGGGGTCCCCTCTGAGGCCACACTGCTGTTAGTCTCCTGCTCCAGCTCCAGTCCAGTCCAGACCTCTCACCGAGGGAGCATCGCCCCTACTGCCCTCTGGGCAGGTGCTAAGGTCTCCCTTAGTCCCTTTCAACCTCAAGCTCTCTGATTTTTTTCCCCCAACTCCCCATCCCAGCTGATGCTCATGGCTGTTCTTACCTGCCTGTTTGAGTCTCTGAACCACATATTAAGGTGAGTGAGGTTATCTGCCCTCTACGCCCCTCAGCCCTTCCCCTCCTACCCTGCCCCCCCCCATACGTCTCCCAGCCAAAGCCCTTCCTCCCCACTTTTCTCCTGAAGTCCCTGCAAGACTGAGACAGGAACCTGAGATGCCTGCTCCCAGACCCTTGCCCTTGACCTGGCCACCACAGTGTCGGTCAGTCCAGAGTCGGGCAGAGAGGGTGGCCAGGTGGACTCTGAGTCCTTGTCCGTTTGGAAGACAAAATAGCAGTGTCCAAGGGATGAGCAGTTGGGCAAGGTGAGGTTCAAGGAAGCAGACTTATCCTGTGCCCTTTCAATGCCCTCTCCCAGTCCTTTGTTGGGGGTGGTTGGAGAATGAACTGGTGTTTGGAGAGGAGGGAGTATCAGCAAGGTGAGAACAGGCAGGGACCCTGATTCTCCTAACCATTGGGAGGCTCAAGCGCTTGTGTCTGCCTTCAGGAAAAACGTGGAGAAGCGCTGGTTGCTGGAGAATATGGATGGAGCCTTCTTGGTGCTGGACGAGATTGTGGATGGCGGGTAAGGAGAGGGCGGAAGGAGTGGCCAGGGCCACTCAGTGGGAGTGTGATTTTGAAAGGTCATTAGTTCTAGATACTCTGTCCATTTTTGACTCTCTAGGCAACTCCACACCCCCCTCCACCACCAGCGTATTCCCAGTTATCCCATCCTACCATTTATCTGCTCCACCCCTAACCATGGTGATGGAAATGGATTTCAATGTTAGCCAAAGCCAAGGCCAAATCAAAAAGCTATCTGATGTCAAAATACAATAAGATCACGAAAAAGCGGGAGTTGGGGAAGGTCATTTTGAACGCTAGTGACAAGAGAAACAGGCAGCACCGACACTTGCCCCCGATGTATGGAGTCCCATCAGGTAGAGTCCCGTTAGCTCCACACCTCTCGCTCTGCGAGCACAGCTCCTATACGTATGGCGTATGGCCAGTCACTTATTCTCCCTGGGCCTTATTTGCTCCATCTTCACCCTGGGGGTGTTAGGGCATTACCCCATAGGGTGGTGAGAATTAAGTGAAGTCACGCATTTCAAGTGCATAGTCCTTGCTCAGAAAAGGCTGCTTTCTGTGTGCATGGTGTTATACTCACTCCTTGTTTATCAACATAGTCAGCTTCCAAAGACCAGGTCATTAGATGAAAATCGGCATTATGTGAAAATGGAGGATGGGGGGGGCGGGGAGGAGGAGGAGCAGGAGTACTACATTATTATATAACCACCGAATTACATGATCAGATCACTCGAATTCTATCATTGCATAACTGCCAAACCATTGAGAGTCATGGCCCAGCCAAGGTGACACAGCACACCACAGGCAGCATCACTGTCACCTCGCAACTTGGTACTTGTTGTTGCCAGAGATGTGTCAGTCATGTGCAAAGTCATCCGATAGTAGCCGTTTCACTATTGTCGTAAATGGGAAATGGTGGGTTAATGAGATACTAGGTAGTAGGTGTACCATCTTAACATTTTTGAAAACTTGTGCATTAGGTGGGGATTTACATTTCAGATCATTTTTGTATGTAACAATGTAAGCTACTTATCAAAGCCCCCATAGCTTGTCCTATCCCCCTTTGATTTCTCTTCTCCCTCTTCTAGAATACAATCTTCCCCTTTACCCAAACTAACACCTGTCTACCCTCGAAAGGATAGACTATTTGGTGCCAAACTTATTTGACCTACTGCCCCCTTTTCAAGAAAAAAACAACAACAAAAACCACAGCACCCCTGTATCAATTAAAAACTTTTGAATTATAGCCCACAATCTAGGATAAAATGTAGGCATCTGCGTTTGCAGCCCCTAGATCATGCCATCACTCCCCAGGGGCAGTGTCACCCACTATGGAAAAGACTGCCGTCGCCTTCTGCTTCATCTTCCTTTCTTTGCCCTCCCTACCTTATAATCATCAACATGTTTCCTTTACTATGAAAACCGTTGTCCTGATTTTCCCCCTTATACTATGGGGCTCATACAGTATTTATCCTTTTGTGATGGACTCCTATCAGCAGCATGTTCTTTACGTCCATGCATGCCATGAGGTGCTTCACGGTGTCATCGTTACTTCTCAGCTCTGCCTCGTATTCCATTGTGTGTATGGACCAAAGTCTCTCTGTCTAGTCTTCTAGCGGAGGGCACGTGGGTTGTTCCACTGCTGCTAGGTAAACAGTGCTGTGATGAACGTGGGTGAGCACGTGTCCCTCCCTGCTATGGCTCTCCCTCTCAGGGTCCATACTCACAGAGGGATTGCTGGATCATAGGCAATTTCTATTTCCAATTGTTTAAGGGAGCACCACATTGCTTTCCACAGTAGTTGCCCATTTCCAGTCCTGTCAGCAGTGTGCCGTGACTTGTCTGTCCGTGTGTTGTACTGTGGTGGCTTGTGTATTGCTGTGAAGCTGAAAGCGCTGTCATTGGCATGTCGAGTACCAGTCAGGTCACCCAAAGTGAACACGTTCCAGCAGACCTTGCAGACTAAGAACAGACTATGAGAAAGAGTAGGCTGTCTTCTTCAGTGGGATTAGCTACCGAAAACCCTATGGATGACACCAAAGCATTGCCAATGACTGAAATGTCATGAGCAGAAGAGAAGTCGAACTTTGTCAGACATAGTGGTAGAAGATGAGCCCTGCAGGTTGGAAATACGACCAAGCAAGAGCTGCCTTCTCCCAGTGGAGTTGACACAGTGCAGTCAAGCCTGTGGATGTGAGACCTTTGGGACCTTCATTTGCTGATGGGCCACGACTTAAAATGAGGCCAGACAGCTGCAAACATCAATTAATAATTGGAACTTGGAATGTACGAAGTATTAATCTAGGAAAATTAAAGCTCATTAAAAATTAAATGGAACGCATAAAGACCAATATTCAAGACATTATTGAGCTGAATGGACTGGCATTGGCCAGCTGAGTCAGAAAATCGCATGTTTTACTAAGCCTTGAATGATGCAATCGAGAGAAAGCATGGCAGTCATCATCAAAAAGGCCATTTCAAGACCTATGCTGAAGTGCAATGCCGTGTGTGAGAGGACAATGCCTATCCACAAAAAAGGAAATCTGATTCATACAACTATTATTCACATTTATGCGCCAACCACTAAAGCTAGGATGAAGAAATTAAAGAATTCTACCAGCATCTTTAGTTAGAAATTGACCAAATATGCAATTCGGATGCATTTATAATTATTGGCAACTGGAATGCAAACGTTGGAAACAAAGAAGAAGGAAGAGTAGTTGGAAAACAGGGTTGCATGATAGAAATGAAGGTGGAGATCACATGATATAATTTTGCAAAACCAATGACTTATTTATAGCAAATGCTTTTTTCAGCAACCCAAAAGGCAACTTTACAGGTGTCGTTGTCCAGGTGGAGTACACGGAAATCAAATCGACGGCATCTATGGGAAGCGGGGATGGAGAAGCTCACTAACAGCAGCCCAAAGCAGGCCCAACTGTGGAAGAGACCCATTGCTCAAATGTAAGTTCTGGTTGAAGTTGAAGAAAATTAAAACAAGTCCACGAGCGCCAAAATACAGCCTCGAGTCTATCACATCCAATTTTGAGAACATCTCAAGAAGAGCTCGGATGCATTAAACACTAGTGACAGAAGAGCTGACGGGCTGTGGAGGACATCAAGACCGTCATTCATGACGAAGGCAGAGAGTCATTAAAAAGACAGGAAACAAAAGATCAGAGTGGACGTCAGAAGAGACTCAAACTTGCTCTTAATTGTAGAGTCGCTAAGGCCTATGGAAACAATGAGGACGTCAGAGACTTGAACAGAAAATCTTGAAGGAAACTCAAGAAGACAAAGTAAACTATTATAATGAAACGTGCAAAGACTTAGAGTTAAAACCCAAAAAGGAATAGCAGACGCAGCATATCTCAAACTGAAAGAACTCAAGAGAAAAATTAAGCCTCGTGCTGTGATAGTGAAAGATTCTAAGGCCAAATATCAAGCAACGCAGGAAGCATCAAAAGAAGGGGGAAAGAATACACTGAGGCAATATACCAAAAAGAGCTAGTCAACATTTAATCATTTCAAGAAGCAGCATATGAGCAAGAGCAATGACACTGAAGGAAGACGTCCAAGCTGCGGTAAAAGCATGAGTCAAAAACAAGGCTCCAGGGATTGATGGACTGACCACCAGTTGAAATGTCTCAACCACACGCTGATAACGCACTGACAGCACTCCCTCAGGGGTGCCAGGAAATGTGGAAAACAGCTCCTTGGCCAACGGTCTGGAAGCAATCCCTATTTGTACCCATTCCAAAGAAAGGTGACCCAACAGAATGTTCAAATTGTAGAACACATCATCGGTCTCACCTGCAAGTACAATTGTGCTGAAGATCATCCAACAACAGTTACAGCAGTACATTGGCAGGGAGCTGCCAGAGGTTCAGGCCGGACTCAGACGAGGATGTCGGACAGGGATATCATTGATGACATCAGACAGCATTAACTGAAAGCCGACAAGACCTGCCAGAAAGCTGTTTGTGTTTCCCTGGCTATGCAAAGGTATTTTACTATGTGGACCATAACAAACTGTGGATGGCCGTGAGCAGAATGGGAAGTCCAGAACACTTCACTGTGCTCATGCAGAACCTGCACATGGATCAAGGGGGCAGTTGTACAACTAGGACAAGGGAATACTGCATGGTTTTAAAATCAGGAAGGGTGCGCATCAGGGTTGGGTCCTCTCGTCATACTTATTCAAGCTGTATGCTGAACAAATCATCAGAGAAGCGGGATTACATAAAGGGGAATGTGGCATCGGGGTTGTAGGAAGGCTGGTTAACAACCTGCGAGGTGCAGACGCCACACCCTTGCTTGCTGTGAGTGAGGAGGTCTTGAAGCACCTGCTGATGTAGATCAAGGAGTGTGGCCTTCAGTATGTATGACCGCAACTCAATGTAAAGAAAACAAGAATCCTGGCATCCGGACCAACAGACAATATCACGATAAATGGAGAAAAGACTGAAGCTGTCAAGGATCTCATCTTGCTTAGATCCACACTCAGTACTCACGGCAGCAGTCAAGAGATCAAACAGGGCAGCGCGTTAAGTAAATCTGCTGCACATGACCATTTAAAGTGGTAAGAAGCAAGGATGTTATTTTGAGTACTAAAGTGCACGTGACCCAAGCCATGGTATTTTCCATTGCCGCACATGCATGTGAATGTTTGACATTGACTAAGGAAGACTGACGAACAATCGATGCATTTAAACGATGGTGTTGACAAGGAATATGGAAAGTCCCATGGACTACCAAAAGAACACGTGGATCTGTCTTGGAAGCAGTGCGTGCTCTTGGAGGCAAGGATGGCAAGACTTCATCTCATGTACTTTGGACGTTACCAGGAGAGCTTAGTCCCTGGAGAAGACCCTCAGGCTTGGTAAAGTAGAGGGTCCCTAAAAAAGGGGAAGGGCTTCCACAAGAGGGATTGACGCCATGGCTGCAACCATGGGCTCAGACAAGAATAATGGTGAGGCTGGCGCAGGACCAGGCCGTGTTTTGTCCGCTGTAAGCAGCCAGGCACTTCACAACAACCAGTATCTGAGGGTTCCCATCTCTCCGTGCCCGCTCCAGCATTTGATACTAGCTTTTTTGAACGTTCAATGCCAGTGTTAAGTGATAGGTGGTTGTTTCGGCTTTTGGCTAGTGATCTTGAGCACATCTTTACGTATTTGTTCTGAACACCGTCTTTGGTGAACGGTCTGTTCACCTCCTGTACCCATTTTTAAGATGGATTGTCTTTTTCTTATTGAGATGTTGCAGTTTTTTATAGATTTTAGAGATGAGTCCCTTTCTGATGTGTCATTGCTGATGTTCCCGTTCTGTGGGTTCTCTGTTTACTATTTGGATGAAGTCTTTTTTTTATTACTAGTTTATCACATACTTTATTTACGAACGACAAAAGCCTTGCAGTGCTCCTCACTAAGAGATGTCAGAGACGGTCACACATCCCTGTGTGCAGCTCTGACTCGATGCAGAGAAGGATCTCATTTTCAGACAGCCCCTGTACGCCGCCAGGCCACCAAACTCCTTATGACCTGGCAATTCCACTCCTACATTCACTCACTCACTCACTGCCAGCAAGTTGATGCCAATTCATAGCAACCCTAGATGCAGGGTAGAACTGCCCCTTTGAGTTTCTGAGGCTGTAACTGTTTGTGGAAGTATAAAGCCTCTTCTTTCTCCTGCAGAGCAGCTGGTGGTTTTGAACGGCTGACCTTTCGGATTGCAGTCCAAGGAGTAACCCTATGCCACTAGGGCTCCCTTACATATACAGGGGGCTTCAAAACGTTTGTGGAAACATGGAACTAAAAGATCATTTTTCGGGGAACATTTGAAGCCGCCTTGTATATTCAGAGATTTACAGCCTTCCAAACCTTATCTAGAGTCGCTGTGAGTTGGAAACCACTCGATGGCACTGGGTTGGGTTTGGGATACTTGAAAGTTCTACTCAAAGGTAGAACTCAGTGTCAGCCAAAAGGTAGAAATAGCCTATCTTAGGAGTCCAATACTTAGGAGCCTTGATGGCATAGTGGGTTAAGCATGGTGCTGCAAACTCCAAAGTCAGAGGTTCAAATCCACTGGTCAGTCAGTGAGCCAAAATGAGGCTGGCTGCTTCTCAGAAACCCTGTGGAACTTCTGTCCCGTTGGGTTGCCAGAGTTGGAAGTGATTAAACAGCATTGGGTTGCGTTTGGTTAGGGGCCAACACTTGGGTTGAATGGATAAAGTCTGGTACATATGCACCGACTCCTCATCCACCAGCAATTGTTATTTGCCATTCTGCTTTCACAACCATGGATATGCCAACGACTTAGTGTAAGTGCTGAGGTGCGCGGGGAGTCTAAGGCTGCCTCTGATGGGTAAGGTTATGTGGTCAGGGCTTTGGCAGTAATGTGATGACATAATTTGACAGTTATGCAATGATGTAATTTGGTAGTTATACCCATTTTCACATAACCACCTGTTCTTTGGTACCCCATCATGTTGATAAGTGAGGAATGCGGATTATTCAGCATAAAGGCAATGATGGTCTGATACATGCCACCGTATGGACAAAGGTGTTTTCTTTTTCTGTCATTGTATTGGGGGCTCATACAACTCATATCACAATCCATCCATACTTCCATTGTGTCAAGCACATTTGTCCATTTGTTGCCATCATCATTTTCAAAACATTTGCTTTCTACTTGGGTCCTTGGTATCAGGTCCTTATTTTTCCCTCCCCCCCCCCTCACCCTCCCTCCCTCAAGAACCCTTGATAATTTATAAATTATTATTATTTTTCATGTCTTACACTGACCGATGTCTCCCTTCACCCACTTTTCTGTTGCCCAACCCCCCCAGGGAGGGGGTTACAGATACATCATTGCGATCGGTTCCCCCTTTCTCCCCCCATCTTTCCCTTACCTTCCTGGTATTGCGATTCTCCAAATTTTTTTTTTTAAACTGGTGAAAGAATTCAGCCACAAAAGGACAGGCCACTCATAGAGACAGGAAGTAGATGCACGGTCACCCAGGGTGGGGGAGTAGGAAATAGAGAGCTATTGTTCAGTAGTTATCAAGTTCTATTTGAGATGAGGAAAACGTTTTAGAAATGGTAGTGATGGTCTTACAGTGTTGTGAATGTAATTAGTCTCACAGTCCCACAATTTCATACTTAAAAATAGCAAAATCCATATTATACATATACTTGGCCACAATTTTTAAAGAAGGATTTAAAAAGAGAAAAGAGGGAAAAGATAGTTTGACTTTTGGAGTGTGTGTGTGTGCACAGCATGACCCTGTGAAATAAAACAAACAGTATAACAAGATTAGAACCCGGTGGGGGCTCCCTTCCTTCATTGCATCTGAATCTTATTAAGGGAACAATCCATCCCTTGCCTCAGAAAAAGTCCAAGGACAGGGTGTGGTACATGTGGGGTGTGGTTTGACCCACCAGCTGATCCGAAGGAGACAGCCGAGGCTAGGTCTTTCTGAAAGATTTCCAGCCTTGGGGCCTTGACGTGCGTTTTGAGTGAGAGTCCCGGAAGGCAGGGTGCCCTTTCGAGAGCTGAGAGCCTTCCATAACCTGAGCATTCACGACTGCACTGCCCTCCCTCCATCTGAAAGGTTTTGCTCAGTGATGACCAGACGCGCTTGAAATGCGGGGGGAGCAGAGCTGAAGGCCTCTCACCCACATGAGGGAGAGTTTGGATTTGAGCAAACTGGGGGGAAGTGCCCTGGAGTGGGGTGGGGGGGATGTTACACTGTGTGTTGAGGACAGGGCAGGGGCTTAGCAGGGAAAGCAGGCAGCAGGAAGGATCATGTCACCAAGTTTACTCCTGGCTTCTCTCTTGTAGCGTGATTCTGGAGAGCGACGCTCAGCAAGTGATTCAGAAAGTGAATTTTCGGGTAAGAGTCTTCTTGTGCGCTGAACTTCTTCACCCCTGCCCCTCCAGGCTGAACAGCTCACCCCTGCTGTCCACCCCCACCCCCCACCCCCGCCCCCATGTGGGATGCCCAAGCCCCTCTGCAAAGCCAGCCCCTGGATCGATGCGCTTGCCGGGGGCCATAGTTAGAGGAGTCACTGAACAAAAGACATAGTTATCACACTCACACATGTATGTGTGCACACGATACACACAACATATACATGTTAGATATCATACACACGTGTGTCCATATCACGCACACATGTATGTATATATACATACAGTTGCCCCTGATGCATGGTAACCCCATGTGCATAGACCTGGGCCCCATATATACACATGTATGTATATATAATGTGTATGTATGCATACATACATACAGTTGCCTCTGATGCATGGTAACCCCATGTGCATAGACCTGGGCCCCATAGAGTTTTCAGTGGCTGATTGTTATTGTTGAGAACATTGTTGAACAAAACACACACCCATTCAGCCTTTCCTGTGTCCACAGTTCAGTGACAGTAATGACTTTCTCCATCCTCGCCCTCTTGTTCTGAGCCATCCTCTCCATTAGGTCAATGCCCCACCCCCACAAGGTTCTTCTCTTTGTCACTTTGATCCCAAATTTAAAAAATAAAAAGACAAAAAAACAATCTCACTGCTATTCAGTTGGTTCTAATTCATAGCACACCTATAGAACAGGGTAGCACTGCCCCCGTGGGTTTCTGAGACTGTACCTCTTGCTAGGGGTAGAAAGTCTCATCTTTCTTCTTCAAATCAGCCGGTGGTCTCAAACTGATGACCTTGTGGTTAGCAAAAGTCTGTAGCTTCTCCTTTGTGATCAGGATCCATGCAGAGCATCTGTGAGCAAAATGCGCCGTCACACCGTGATCTTCATGTGCCCGACTGATTAGATTGTATTATATATGAAGCACAGGCCAATCCAACTTTGTTGGTTGCTTTCTTTAAGTTTAGTTCTGAGGCCACGGTTCAGGCAGGCAATTAGCACACATTCCATTCCCGCCACCAGTCCCCGTCTCTCCTTCCTTAGTTGCTACGAGTGAATTGAGACCAAGAATCCTTGTACCTTGGACGGCAGCTTGCAAACCTTCTCAATCCCGCGCTAAGCAGCCAAGAGGGGGTGGAACTGCAGCACTATGTTATCCGCTGACGGACTGGGAAGGCTCCTGAAACCATGACCTTCAACCTCCAAACCAAGGGACTGAAGCCCCTGAGGTTTTTTGGTTGTACCCAGCAGCCTCCGTAGCTATTTCCTTTTGGTCGTTGTTGTCAATCTAGCACACAGGACGACGATGTTTGAACGGCCGAGTTTTTGACAGTCGGGTAGACAGTCAGTGAACAGTGCGTGTGCTGGCCACTTGCACCACCCAGGGGCTCCCGAGAGAAGTACAGACATGGGGGTGGGAGGGCAGGCCTCAAAGAGACATTGGGTTACGGGTGAGGGGTCTAGATGGGAATCACCCTGCCTAATTTGCTTCTGGTGGGTCTGGATGAGAGCTGTCCTCCCCTCTGATCACTCCCCAACTCCGTAACCTCTAGGCAACATAGAAGGCGCCTAGTCCCCCAATACAGGGCTTCAACTAAGTCAGCCCACCCCATCTTTGTACCTCCCCACCCCCACCTCCTACTCCTTCATCTCTCTGACCCAGTACCCTCACCCTGGCCTGACCCCACCCTCTGGCTTTGATTGCTTTGCAGGCAGATGACAACAGCTTAACCGAACAGAGCGTGGCCCAGGTAAGCCCCCTACCACCTGCCCTGGCTCCAAATGAGTTGGAGGCCAAAGAGAAGAGAGCACTGTCGGGCCCCAGGGAGATGGTCACCGCTAAAAAGACCGGTGTTAGAGGGGAGGGTGGAGGCAATGACAGACCACCTCCTGGGGAGCCTTGGGGTGTTATTGTCCAGGGTCTGGAAGGGGGTGGGACTTGGGTATTTCTATATGGATAGACGTGTCAGCAGCAGCTGGCCCCACCCCTGGCTTGACAGCTGGGGGGAAACCCAGGATAAGCTGCACCCTGGAGGTGGCTGGATCACTTGTTTCCAGTCTAGTTGGAGACGCGGGCCCTCGGTGCCCTCCACCCACCCACCTGCAAAAGATACCAATATGAGTTTGCCTCCTTCCCCCTCCCCATTTAGGAGCCACCTTGGGGCTGGGAAAAGATAGATAAAATAGAAAAATTTGATCAACTTTCCCCACACCCCACTCAGCACACTGCCCTAAATGACTTGCCTGTGGAGAAGCCGCCCCTGCACACCCTCAGCATGGGCCCATCTGGGGGTACCTGTGGGGGTGGGGTGGGGGATGGGGGGGTTGGCTTTCCTGTATCTGTGGCCTCACTGGCCTCCCCCTCCCACTTTGCGAATGGCCTGCTTGTCAGGCTGACTGTCTGTCTGTCCGCAGGTCTTTCTGCCCAAACTAATCCTGCTTTTATGGAGCTTCCTGCCCTGCCGCTAACTCCCTCTCCCCTGGAGACCCAGGTGTGGTGCCAGCATCCCTGTCACGGCCCCCCACTGCCTCTGCCACTCCCTCCTCCTGGCTTCCCCAGTTTCCTCAGGCCCTGCTGGGATGAAGGCAGCCACATGGAGGTTTGGGGGGCTGAAAGAGATTAAGGGGCTCCTGAGTAGGGTAGCTAAGAACCCAGACTCTAGTATAGAGCACTCCACCTTACTACTCCACTCGGGAGCAGTGTGACTCAGGGCAAGTTACTCAACCTCTCTGGGCTCCACACATGAACAGGAACTGCCTGCCTCATCATTGTTATGAGACTTCACACAGCAAGCAATAACACACGTTATTAACATGTAAATGAACATGTAAATGTGAACCACTAGCAGTTTCCCAAAGAGGGCCAGAATGGAGACACGGTACCCTTAGAAGCTGAGGCAGCCGGTGAAAGATGGGAGGAGAAAATCAGGTTACCCTTAGGTCCCAGGAGGACCTCCCTCCGGGCAAGAGAAAGGGGGTGAGAGAGACCCTCTCTGGAAGCTGACTGGCCAGATGGACAGGCTTAGGGACTGGCGAGCAAACACCTAGGGCTTGAGCTGTGCTGGCATGATGTGTGCACAAGGGTGAGAGCGGGCCTTCCTGTGGGTGCAGGTGTCTCCAGGCAGGGACTGAGCAGCCACGCTTCGCCAGCTGTGCCACATCAGCAGAGGGTAGGGGTGGGGTTACTGCCAAGGCCTGAGCTAGGGGCAGGCTGAGGCTTCTGACACAGGCGGTGCTCAGGCCAGGCCCAGAATCCACCAGACATGGCATTGTGGCCAGGGACGTGCATGGCATGGCATAGTATGGGGGAGACGGGAGCCTCTACCACACCCCGCAGGGTGCAGATGCAGGATGCGGGCAGGCTGGGCCTGGGGGAGAGCTGGCTGTGGCCAGTTTGCGCTGCTCTTTCCCAACCCTGGCAGGGCTCCACCTACACCAGGCTGAGACGGGCTGCTGCCACCTAATGGTCAGGCGCTGCAGGGCGCTTTGGGAAGAGGGGTGGTGTAGACCTCCCTGTCCGCGGGTGCTGTTCTAGAAGGCACTCCACACGCCTCCTCCCCCGGCCTTTCGCTCTTTCCCCCCACCCCTCAGGTTCTTCAGTCAGCCAAGGAACAAATTAAATGGTCGTTACTGAAATGAAGGCAGTGGATTGAGGGCCCCCAGCCCTAGTCCTGGAGAAATCCCAAAGACCCCCAGCACAGGAGAAACACCAGTATCCGGACCCCTCCCAGAACTGACTCCTGAGGTCTCAGCCTGGAATCGCCAAGGTTGGGTCCCAGCAACCGAGTTGCCCCTCTTCCCCGCTCCTCGGCCTCCGGAGCCTGATAAACCTGATGTTCTCTCCAGACCCGGAGTGTTTGTGTCCCAGGGCCAGGGCTCAGGCACGACGGGGGCTCCCGGGACCAGGTGTTATCCCTGCGTGATGCGAGCGTGTGTGGGGGGTGGAACACTGACACCACGTGGCTGCACATGTCGTGGGGTGCCTCGGGGAGCGAGTGATAACAGGAAGGACAGTGCGTACTTCCTGCGAAGCCAGAGCAATAGCTAGTGGCCCCGTTCGGTTGTGCATTGGGCGCCTGGCGCCACTTTTTCCATTCCTCCGCCTCCAGCGAGGACGGGAGTCGGGCTTCCTGCGGACCAACGCAGCATCGGCGTGCACGTTTTTCTTGGCGTACCTGGGAGCGCGGGATTGCTCTGCAGGCACACTCTCAGACCCGGGGGCGGGGCGGGGTGGGCATGGACTGGCCCCCAGTGCCCTCCATTGGGTGTGAAGGATTGCAGATCGTGAGGGAGGGACGGGCAGGCGGAAGGGGACTCCAGGAGCAAGATGGAGGCTGGAGATGCATTTCTGTGCGATTCTAGTCCTCCCTCCGCCCTCCCCTCCGCTCCAGAACCTCCCGCTTCCCGCTTTCTTTCTCTGACGTCGGTGTGACACCGGCTGGTTTCCCTGCATCTGTTCCGCCCGGGCCCCGCCCCTCGAAGGTGTAGAGCGCCGCGGGGAGCCACGCCCCCAGGGCGACATCCGCGATCCTGTAGCGCCACCTGGAGGAAATTGTGGAAAACGGGATCCCTCCGGGTCCCACTCCCCTGCTTAACTCCGCCCCCAGGGCTGGAACGGAAGCGGCGCGCCCCAGCTCCTCGCCGGGCTATGACGTCAGTAATCTGGCGTTGCCTTAGCAACCAGCTTGCGTGACTACCCTGCGAGTCCTGCGCCAGCGTGGGCACACGCATTTCCGTCAAATGCTACAAATAAAAAAAGCGGCGAGTCCCGGATGTTAATAGAGGCTGCCCCTGCAGGTTATCGCATCTCACATAATAAAACCTTCTAAGGATAGAATATTTATATAAAGCGCGACGACTTCGGTCACTAGAACGGCAAATGATGGCGGTATAGTTATGTAAGCGTAGACCCTGTAAACATTGTGTGGACAACCCGGCCGATAAACAGCACAAAAAGCAACTCTGAAAGGGGTCAAGGGTACGGAATTAAATGCGGTGGCGTTCAGGGACCAGGCTGGCGACGGGAAGGGGGAAATTCTCCAGAAATACTTTGGCAAATCTGCGACCGCAGCCGGCTCCAGCCACAGTCCCTA